TTTTTCATATATTGCAATCTATAGCTAAGTTATTTCTCAAATCTGTAATTGTTTGAATCATTTAACTTGTGAAACACTAAAATTTGATAATTTTATGCGATAGATGTTATTGAATTTTAAGAAGAATGTTTAAATAGATTGAATGCAATCGCTGATATTTGTATTATCTAGTTCATCGATTTCTCTATTATTTAAAATTGTTATTTAAATTGAATCTTTAGCGCTGATCTGAGATTATTTGATAATTAGGGTTAATTAGAACGCTGGTTTCTGATTAACTAAGCACATGTTTGGCCCCCATTTTGGGATGTTGAAAATTTTTGGAATGGTGATTGATGGGAGAATGTGTGCTAGAAAAGTAATGAAAAGTTTTAAAATTGTGTGTAATATTATTTTATTTGATGAATGTGTGGTTGAAACGAAGAGAGAAAAAAATTAATGTAATGGAAAAAAATGGGGGCCAAACAAAGGCTAAAATTAAAGAGAAATAAGAATTTATTCCAACGATGAATATTGTGAATATGAATTGATTGTTCTTTGTGGATTGATGAATGGTTATAAATCTCCAATGGTGGAAGTTGACTTTGATCAAGACTCATTTCATTGATTTAATACAACTCGTTAATTTACATTGTTATTTGTTATAAGATTGATTCATTATAAACAAAACCCCCCAATCGTTATACGAAGAATAAATTGTTGAATTGCACACTCTTCGTGGGATCGACCCTTACTTCCATTACCACATTAGTTTTAGACGTTTAAGAACTATTTTTGGATGCCTATGATAGCACACCAGTACACAGTTTCGAAATTCTGAACCTGAGAACATACTTTTCTGCGAGGGCTTTCCCATTGTCAACCGCACGTTAAAGTACTCGTAATTGAGCTCTCAACGCTTCCATTTCATCCTGTAGATCAGGCATGATTGCAACAGTTTCAGTCATTGCTGTGTAAGGATTTCGGCTTTCATCCAGTGGAATGTGTAATTCACGAATTTTCATCTCTTCTACCTCGACTTTTTCCTCGAGGCCATCCACGACATAGCACAACCTAGTAGTTGTTTCATTAAGCACATCCACGCTGTTTCGTAGTCCTCTTTTGAGATCTACAACTTCTGTGGTGTTTGATGTAATTAGATTCATAACTTTCTTATCAAGGGTCGTGAGCCGCATCTCTGATACCAACTTTCAGGAGTGTCTTTCTTTTTAGCACAGAAAGGGATACCGTGTGACAATAGTCTGTTCCGCTATACTACCTTCTGTCTTTTCTCGATCATTTCGGAACGAAAAAAAATTATTACAATTTGTAGATAGTTTGCAACAGAAAATTTAGATGCACTGAAAGTAAATTGATTATTGATTAATGAAAGTGAAAATTACAAAAAATGAAAGCAGGAAATTACAATGGCTGGTACATGAGGCAAACACAATTAAGTTTCAAAGATTTTTGAATGACTAATACCCCTTATAATAACTTGTAAAAGGAAACCCTAAGTGATAAGAGTGGACGTTTAAAAGACGAGAAATCATACTAAATGATTGCAAATATCAGAGTTATTTTACAATTGAAATAAACTATTATAATGGAAAGGAAATTACAACTCAAACTGAACTAATATTTATAACGTACGGTCGAAATTGGGTAAACTGTGATTGCGATTGAATCAATGGGCTAATTAAAGTTGTGGTCCTTGACATCAAGATTGGATTACAAGTCGGGCTAATATGTGGTATAGTTGACCACAAACTTAGACACAATGATATTAAGAAATACGACGACAAGTATGAAAAATGAAAATGATTTAGCTGAGCTCCAGCATGGATCATGACTTGGAAGTAAAATGAAGAAATACTCTCAAGGGATTGAAGCTTATGAAACAAAGTTGTGAATTCAATTTTGCCGATCTGTTAAACCACGCTTATAATTCCTCATGAAAGTATAGAATGTATGTATGGCCCGAAAATTGATTATCTTATAAATAAAGATATTTTGCTTGTAATAGCGAAACTAATTCTTCTAAACTTTTTTTTTTTTTTTAATCAATAATTTCATTTCCTTACATTGGCAATGTAAAATATAGTCAAATATGATTATTTTCTTCTTGATACCCATTAAATTTTCCTTTGTGTAGAATTGATATTATTCCTCTTTATCTAGAGGTGGCTCGGCTCGGCCCGTGAGCTCGTGGGTCGAGCCAAACTTCGACTTGCGAACTCGTCATTTTTATTTAAAGATAAACCTTTTTTCAAAAAAAAAAAGGATAAACCCTCCGCTTTGGACTCGCCCACGAGCCGCTTGCCCGTGGGCGTGCTCGTGCTCAGGCTCAGGCTCGACATTTGACCAGCCCGAGCCGCCCATGAGCCGAGCCTTCTAGCCGCTCGACCCGTTTGCCACCACTATCTTTATCTACTTCCATCCTCGTGGAAAATGAAAGAATGTACTCAATTTCAAAACTTATCAAACGCAATTAAACACACACACACACACACTACTATCAAGTGAAGCTCAAAATAACCTTCTTCAACTCAGTTCGAAATTTAATTAAAATTGTTATATCTTGTACACACAGTCATCGCTCCATTCCCATGATCTCCAACACCCTCTACCCAACCATCTATTTCTCCCACTTTCGAGTAAGACGACAATTTGGGGATGAGAGGGCAAAGATGGAGAAAAGGTGACTGAAAGGAGTACATATTTTATGTTTTTATTTTTTATTAAAAATAATTGTAAAAAAAGTTTTTAACCTAAAAATTGATGTTTTTTTTTTAAGTCAAAGCTTACAATATTCATCGATTGCTACAAATTTAAAATGTTAGGACCTAGATGTCAAAACAATTAATTCAGAATTCAAATGTTATAATATACCAAAGTTTGAGAGCTCCATTGTAATAGCGTAAAAATTAAGAATCCACGTTACAAAGACTGGACTTCAGATGAGAAAATCAAAGAAAAGAGGAGACAGAGCTGCAGATCCCGAATAGCAGTGACCAGTGACCCCTCCGGTGATCCAACACTGCTGGTGAAAAATTTGCACATAAAGAAACTAAGGAAACAAAATCTGTTCTTCGGATCGATCGATTCGACTCCAATTTTCAGGTAATTTTGCATTGTTTTCTTACTTCTTTTTTCGATTTATTACAGCGTCCTTTGTCTCATTTCAGATCTGATATGGCCAAAAACTTATTCATTGCATGTAATCTATAATTTTACTTATAATGCTTGGAATAGATTTCTTCTTTTGACTGCTTTTGAATTCATTTTCTCGATCATTCCGCATCTTTGATTTGTTTTGGTGGATTGTAGAGTGTGTATGTATGTTTATGTATGTATTAAGATTTATGGATCTGTATGATGAGAACGCTAGTTTTTTCCGTGTTTATTTTTTGGTTCAGAATCTATATGCATGTTATGGTGTAAGGTAGGTCTGTTTCTTAGCTTGCTATGGACTTATTGAATTGTTTTCATTCATGTAATTGAACTTTCTTTTATCTTAGTATTTTGAAATTAGAATACGGATTTGTATTGCAGAAAAAGATGTTAGTTTTTGCTCGAATGAGAAGTAGGAAAATACACTGAATTTTCAGTAAGGGCTATATATCTTTAATGTTTTAAATATACCTAAAAATTCCACATTTTGTTTCTTCATTTTGCTAGAGTATTTATTAATGATGCGAAATATTGCAGACTCTACATAAGTAATCCTTCAAGGAATCACTATATTGGAAAATGACATTTTCACTCACATCACATTCTCAGCACTTTTTATATCATTATATGATGTGAATTCAGATCAACTGATGAACTAGGTGGAACATCACCATACATTCAATCAATTTTCTCTAGTAGAGTGATTTGTTTTCATAATTTTTTTGGTCTGTATTGATTGAATAGTTTGAATTCTCCACATGACTAGGTACCAATTGAAAAATGGAAAAATCATGCTCTTTGCTGGTACACTTTGACAAGGGCACTCCAGCCCTTGCCAATGAGATTAAGGAGGCACTTGAAGGAAATGATATTCCTGCTAAGATCGATGCCATGAAAAATGCAGTCATGCTTCTGCTAAATGGTGAAACCCTCCCTCAGCTCTTCATTACTATAGTTAGATACGTGTTACCCTCTGAAGACCACACTGTTCAGAAATTGCTGTTGTTATATTTGGAGATCATCGACAAGACTGATGGCAAAGGTCGTGTATTGCCTGAAATGATCTTGATCTGCCAGAATCTCAGGAATAATCTTCAGCACCCAAATGAATACATCCGAGGTGTCACACTGAGGTTCCTTTGCCGGCTGAACGAGGTGGAGATCATTGAGCCTTTGATACCCTCCATTATGTCTAACTTGGAACATCGTAACCCTTATGTTAGGAAAAATGCAATTCTTGCTGTGATGTCAATTTACAAGCTCCCACAGGGCGAGCAGCTCTTGGTTGATGCACCGGAGACTATTGAGAGGTTTCTTTCGACGGAGCAGGATCCATCAGCTAAGAGGAATGCCTTTCTGATGCTTTTCAATTGTGCTCAGGATCGTGCTATAAATTACCTTTTGACCAATGTTGACAGAGTAGGTGACTGGGGGGAACTAATGCAGATGGTTGTATTGGAGTTGATCCGGAAAGTTTGTAGGATGAACAAAGGAGAAAAAGGGAAATATATAAAGATAATTATATCACTCCTGAATGCGCCTTCAGCTGCTGTTGTCTATGAATGTGCTGGAACCCTTGTTTCTTTGTCTTCTGCTCCTACGGCTATTAGAGCTGCAGCTAGTACATATTGCCAGCTTCTTCTCTCTCAGAGTGACAATAATGTTAAGCTCATTGTGCTTGATCGTCTGAATGAACTTAAATCCTCCCACAGAGATATTATGGTTGACATGATCATGGATGTACTGAGGGCACTATCAAGCCCAAACCTTGACATCCAAAGGAAAACTATTGATATTGTTCTCGAACTGATCACGCCTCGAAATGTCAATGAGGTAGTTCTTACTTTGAAGAAGGAAGTTATGAAAACTCAGAGTGGGGAACTTGAGAAGAATGGGGAGTATCGCCAAATTCTTATTCAAGCCATCCATTCTTGTGCGATAAAATTCCCTGAAGTAGCAAGCACAGTGGTCCATCTATTGATGGATTTCTTGGGAGACAACAATGTAGCTTCCGCTGTGGATGTTGTCATTTTTGTGCGAGAGATAATTGAAACCAACCCGAAATTAAGAGTTTCTATTGTTACCAGGCTTTTGGATACATTTTATCAGATCCGAGCTGCAAGAGTTTGTTCCTGTTCTCTTTGGATCATTGGAGAGTATTGCCTCTCACTTTCTGAAGTTGAGAGTGGCATTTCAACTATAAAGCAGTGCCTTGGAGACCTACCCTTTTTTTCGGTTTCTGAAGAAGAGGAAGCTGCTGATTCTACCAAGAAACCCCAGCTAACAAACTCCACTACCATTTCATCTAGAAGACCAGCCATCCTTGCTGATGGGACTTATGCTACTCAAAGTGCTGCCTCTGAAACTGCTTTCTCCCCTCCAACTGTAGTTCAAGGATCTTTGACTACTGGAAATTTGAGGTCCCTTCTTCTTGCTGGCGATTTTTTTCTTGGGGCAGTTGTTGCCTGCACACTAACGAAGCTTGTATTGAGATTAGATGAGGTTCAACCTTCAAAGGTTGAAGTGAACAAAGCATCAACCAGTGCATTATTGATCATGGTCTCGATTCTACAGCTAGGGCAATCTTCAGTTCTCCCTCACCCAATTGACAATGATTCTTATCACAGGATTGCTCTTTGCATAAGATTGCTGTGCAACACAGGGAATGCTGTCAGGACAATCTGGTTGAAGTCTTGCCATGAGAGTTTTGTTCAAATGCTTTTAGATAAACAGTTACGTGAAGCTGAGGAAATTAAAGCGAAGTCTCAGATTTCTCATTTGCAGCCTGATGACCTTATTGACTTCTACCATTTGAAGAGCAGGAAGGTAAGAATATTGCATTTCCTAACTCTTTCTATACTTGTCATTTTAGATTGTAATCTGAACATTTCTCTGTTTTTGAACCAAATTCTGGTTTTGCATGCCATACTGGCCTGAGTCAGGGGCGGATCTAGGGGGTGGGCACCCAACCCCCAAAAACAAATAAATAAATAATTGCAATCCATTTTATCAAGCTCGTTTGCAGGTCAATTTTGGATTATAATTCTCAAATCTTAGGAAAGGTTCTTGATATCATTTTGAAGTATACAAGGCGTACTTCTTAATGTGCCTTTCAATTTGCAAAATTGCTAAACGATGATGTCACAATAGTGAGTTAAAATGATTGCATGAAATGAGTTTAATAAATCTAATTCGTGGCCACTACCTATTTTGGCTTATTTCGGGCTATATTTTTCGATCGTTGGTATTGTTTTGCAGAACTTTCGACCAACTATACAACGCATATTTCAAAATGAAAAATCATTAAATGGTGGACTTAAAATAGCTAGCATAAGATGGCTACCTAAAAATGGGTTTAATAATTCTATTTTAAATCAATGTATTGTATTAAATATGCAAATTTAAGGGTAAGGTCACTGTGCCCCCATTTTCATCTTTTCATTTCTCTCGTATGTCCTCTGTAAAAAAAATCGCAAGGCCTAAGCTGTCTCGCTCTATCTGATATTATGGATTTATTCTTGTGTCACTGTGTCCATTGTAGGATCATGCTGTAGCTATATATTCAAGTCAGTGAGCTCACATCAAATTGATGGAAGCCTTGACCAACTTTATTCATTGTCTAATTATTTATTCGCATGCAACTTTGTGGACGGACAGGTTTAAAATTCCCAACAAACCTTTAATATTGTTTGAAGGGCAGTGCAGTTGGGATGGAGACATTTTATATTGAGAACCAATGTTTTAAGTGGATGTTTGTTCATGCCGAGGGTTATACAAGACAACTAATAAAAATCTTGTTCGATTTGTAAAATTATTGCAAAAAAAAATTGTAAAATTGTATTTTGTTTAGTTTAATTAGCTTTTACTTTAATTTTAATTTGTGATATCTACTTTTTTGGGCCTGTGTATCAAGTTGTCAAATGTGATGTAAGCATCATGTTACACATTGGGGCTAGTTAATTTTACCTACTTTGGAGGCTTGGTCTTACCAATTTTTAAGTGCTTGTGATTATAATTTACCATTTCATGACCATGAGAGCATATATTGCAAGGAACTTCTAAAACGTGCCAAAAAGTATCTTTAGTCACTCTATTGTTTTAAGTGTTCAGAATTCAGCAATTTCTCTTGAGAAGATCATGATTCTGGTCTCTCTTTGATTGGTTGTATATCATGCATGTAGTAAACACAATGTATAAACAGTTTGTTCATTTACACACGGTTGCTTCAGGGAATGAGCCAGCTGGAGTTGGAAGATGAGGTTCAAGATGATTTGAAACGTGCTACTGGGGAGTTTGTTAAGGATGCGGATGATGCTAATAAGCTAAACCGTATCGTTCAACTGACAGGATTTAGTGACCCAGTTTATGCTGAAGCTTGTGTGACAGTTCATCAATATGATATTGTTCTGGACGTTACAGTTATTAATAGAACCAAGCAGACCCTTCAGAATTTGTGCTTGGAGCTGGCTACAATGGGCGATCTTAAACTTGTTGAGCGACCACAGAATTATACTTTGGCACCTGAGTCAAGCAAGCAAATAAAAGCAAATATTAAGGTGTCCTCTACTGAGACAGGAGTTATATTTGGAAACATTGTTTACGAGACCTCAAATGTACTTGAGCGGGCTGTTGTGGTCCTCAATGATATTCATATTGATATTATGGACTACATCTCTCCTGCTGTGTGTGGTGATGCTGCTTTCAAAACTATGTGGGCAGAATTTGAGTGGGAAAACAAGGTAAAACAGTCACTAAAGTCCTGATGTCATTCATATTTTTTTGTTTAAGACACCAGTTATATTACCTCTGATTTTTGCATTGCTCTGGTAAGGAAACACTGTATGGTGATGACTGCACAGAAGCAACTAGGATAGCCACAATTGGATTTTCTGATAAATTCCTACGCAGTGCTTCCTTATTTTCTACTGGTCAATGTTAAACTGTTCATTATCCATGTATTCTTTGAAAGTTAGTTTGTCTGATGTCTAATAATTTAGTTTCATATTTCCTTTGTGTAAACCCAAACTTAGGCAGGAGTGTTACTTAATTGAGTTTGATCAGCGTCGGCTGGTTTTCCTTTTCTCTATTTGAGAAGGAAGCTCTTGAAGATATTACATTCTCATTTGCTCTGCTTATTTGAAACCGAAGAGATGATTAGATGGTTTTGGTTGCTCCACTAGCCTGAAATAACCATTGAACATACTGTTAAGTGCTCCAACTTCGAGATTTATTACTTGATCCATTTGATGTATCGGTCATTGAATGGAGGGTAAAACCATCAAAATATTTTTCTGCTATTCTTGATCAAAAGTTTGACTTGAAAAATTTGATGTATTGGTCACTGGTGGTATAATTGATAATAATATGGGGAGTTCAAAACAAGGACATGCCTTGATAATACATCATTGGAAGGTTAGTTATTTTGTGAAAATTGTCAATGCTGTCAATTGACCCTTTTGATTTGTAGGAAAAAGTTTTCATTCCTTTTCCATATATCCTCCATGAAATTGCAGGTTTGTTGAATCGGTACATTCTTATAAAGTTTGTTCTAGGTAAATAGATTCCTGTTTTTTAGGATTGCTGGCTTGCTTCTATCATACATTTATTATCCATTTGTTCCTGAATGACTGATGAGTATCGGCAGCATTTATGTTTGACTACTGCTGCATATAGCTTGTCCTAATGTTCATATCTGTTTGGGCCAACCCTTAAAGATAGTTTGTAACTTTGTTTTTTGTTTTCAATATTTTTTATCTGCTTCTTGTTAATTGCTTTGCCTTTTTCCCCTTTCCTTTGGCAGGTTGCTGTCAACACTACAATAACAGATGAGAAAGAATTTCTTGACCATATAATCAAATCGACCAATATGAAATGCCTGACTGCACAGTAAGACATGTTCTTAATCCTGCTTGAATGTGTCATAATTTTTGCAATCAAAGACATTAAGGTTGAGGCCACATGCATGAGCCATTAACATCTTTTTTCTCCCTAAAAAAGGACTAAAGAATAAAAAATTATTGTATCTCAACATTGCTACTATTATCCAATATTAAAATCTGTGGCTTTCTGTTAGTTTTTCTCACTGTCATGGTTCCATTGGTTATTTTCTAAATCCTTGTTTTGTCAACTATATGAAAGGCTAGTCGCCAGGAACTGTAATTCAGTTCAGATACTTAGGGCTTGTTTGATGGATTTTTTGAGAATATATTTTGTGAAAAGTGATTATTTTGGAGAATGTGTTGTTAAGAAGTAGGGAATAGTTATGGGTTTACGTGCAAAACTATTTTATTGGGAGAATATGTGGCTGAAAATAAGTTTGGGGGAAATGAGTTTTAAAGAATCGGTAACAAACATGGGCTTAATATTTCCAAGTTTTCTGCTATATTCATAGTTCAACTAGTTCATTTGATGTACTAATCTCTGATATTCAGTCCGTAGTTTTAAGTGATCTAGCAAAATGTGTTTGAGGTAGTACAAAATGCAGTGTGTCAGAGTGCCAGAAGATTGTTCCAGCTTCTGAGTGCCCAAGATCACATAACAAGTGGAAATTTTAAATATGCAAGTTAAAACTGGGGCGTTGATGGAACTTAAAAAGACTTGTGATAAATATTCAGAGTATCATTTCGAGTCCCCTCAAGGCCACTGGACTCTTAAGTTGTGATATGTGACTGGCGAGACTTCATATTTTGCTTAAATCCTGGCCAAATGCTTATACCTTTTGCTTGCTTCTATTTGGTTGTGGTTTGGTAAGGTGTATAGTTTTGCCTCCCATCCTGGTTGTTTGGTTATGTTCAGGTCGGCACTGGACGGTGACTGCGGGTTCTTAGCTGCTAACTTGTATGCAAAGAGTGTATTTGGGGAAGATGCTTTGGTAAATGTTAGCATTGAGAAACAGGAAGATGGAAAACTGAATGGATATATTAGGATAAGGAGCAAGACCCAAGGAATTGCTCTCAGCTTGGGCGATAAGATAACTCTCAAGCAGAAGGGAGGAAGCTGATCTCATTAACAGGTAAATTCTTCATCCATTTTCTCATATTTTGACATTGATTTGGAAACTGGACTGGCCCAGTCTGTTCAACTGGACCAACTGACCCAGAAACTGGCTGGGTTTTAGCCAAAATCCAGATAAATAACTCGGATGAACTTGCCGGCTCAATTGGAACCAATCTTGGGGTGACTTGGCTTCAAGTTTGCTCCCCTGTTGAACCCCATATTAAACTTTCAACTCTTGACCCTTTACATTTTCCGGGTCATTGCTCAGGTCGGGTTTAAAACATTGGTTTTTTAATTGAAATTGGGAGAGAGAGTTTTCTTCTTCCTCAGTTCAAAGCAGGATCTCTCTGGGTCTTGTATGAACCAGTTCTAATGGTTGTCAAGATTGTGCAATGTATCTTTTCTTATAACTTCACCTCACCCTTGTCTTGTAGGATTACGCTCAAAACATGCTTGGAAGAATAGTTGAGGTTTGTTAATATCCAAAACATTTTTGCTTTGGATTTTGCATCTTAAGTTTGAGGTCAGATATCCAAAAACACGATTGTTGATTCAGTAGAGAAATTCATAAAGAAAACGTTTTGCTTTTAGGTCTTTTTTTTATTTTTTATTTTTATTTTGAGTTATTTGTAATGATTTTACTCAAAATGATTGTAATTTTGAACAGAGTAATAAACGTTAGTTAAAAAATTCATGCACAATGGATTTAAACAACAGATTAGCTTTATCGTATCCCATTATTCCCATGCATGGATACTCTTAAACTATAGATTCGCTTTGTCGTATTTATGCATTGTATGGTTACAAATATATGAAGTTTTAAGGAAGATGAGAAGAATTAAATGAATATTTTAAATATACTACGAAATTTTTTTTACTGGAAATACATAATTAATACTTGAAATTTCCATAAATGCTCCTGAAAAAAAAGAAGGTACAATTCCAGAATTCCTAATTATTTTATACAATTGCTTTGCAATTATCGGCTCGGAAAGTTTCTACCATGGACAGCAGAAGTATGTTTTCTTTTTATTGCAATTTAATACGTCAAAATTATAAAATTGTAGGTACATAATAGGTACAAGTAAAAAAAAAAAATGTAGAAGGTACATGTAAACCAAATTACTGACGTCTTAAAGTTAAAATTTTGACTTCCATCGGTTGAACCCTATCATCTTCGTCTACATGACTTTACATATCCGCAAGTTCTTGAATACGTGCTTATTCCGCATACAAGAATAAAGTGGCGGAATACTATATTATCCATTAGTGACATGCTGCTTGAAAAATTTTAAAATTTGATTCTTTTAAAGGGGCGTTTGATGCACATTATGGAGAAAAAACTGTATTTTATGATTTCATGAAAAATATGGGATTTAAAAAAATAGAAAAAAACTTGAATTTGCATGTAATATTATTTTATTAAAAAATGTGTATTTGTAAATGAAATTTGAAAGAATGAATTTTTTTAAAAATGTGTATCAAATGTAGTGGTCTTTCAAATCTTGCTGCATTCACTAATTTGTCAAATCCAAGATGTCAATTTAGCGCATATTTTCATTGCAAACGCAAAGGAAACCACTTAAATGTAAGTGGTAGGAGAAGACAGATAGCCAATAGTAGAATAAATCCAAGAATATGGGACCCACGGCCGCATGAATTATGTGAAGAATTCATGAGAAAAGAAAACTCCTCGAGAAAACAACATTACCAGCCAACCAGAATAGGACCCCACACACGGAAAAGCACTTACAAATCGAGTAAATCAAGAACACGGCACTACTAATCCGCGCACAAAGAAGCACTTCAAGAAAACGGCACTACTAATGCGCGCACAAAAAAGCACTTGTCATTCGTTGGTAGTAGAAAAATCATCAACCAATCTACAAGTTGCAATAAAGCAAAGCCATCAAAATTACAGTAGAAAAGCATTAATCAATGTACATACAAGTTGCACCAAAAGAAGCATGCATTAATACAAACATTATCCAACATAAAAGGGATAGAAATCACACAATTTCGAGGACCACAAAATGTGAAAAAGAACTAAAAGATGTAGAGTTCGATTGAAAAAATTCCTATGCTACCCACACAAGATAAAACAAGGAAGATCCCAGACACTCTAATATAGCCGGGCCCACCTCTCCGGTCCGGTATAAACATCAGTACTTTACCTAAATGTTTTACCCTTTTTTTTTTTTTTAACTTTTCCTTCCTGTATGCAATGAAGAGAAACACATGATAAATGGGGAAATATAAGGATAAATACGGAAAAAAATAAAATCCAAGAGGACTTTTAGCCTGTCTCTCCTGCAGCCTTTTTCTCGTCTTTGTTTCGGACAAACCTTGGCAGGGTCAATAAAGTATCTACACGGGAGACTCCTTCAAGTGAAGACCAGCCTTTTCCAACCTCCATGATTTTTCTTCATTATTCAAGGCTACCTCCTCATTCACACGTGAAGTTTCCACATTCTCTTCTGGATGAGCCTCTTCGCTCGCTTTAACAGTGCCAGAGCGGTCCAATCCAGTCGGACTAAAGGAATCATCTTTCTTGTCAGTATCCTCGTGCTCTTCATACACGATATTCTCTGAGAGTTCAGTGGGAGCGGCAGTAGAGTCGTTTGGATTTGAATCGAGAAAGAGGCAAACAACAGCACAGTCATCAACCTTAGAAGTTGGATATTTGGACCTCCAAGCCCGGCCTGCTGACTCTACTAGCTTTCGAGCTGCATATGATCGAGTGGAGCAAGAACCCACAATGTCTACAACTTCTTCATTTGAGAGAACATCCCATATCTGCAATGTACATTAAAGCTTTGCTCAACTTAAACAAAATTTTACACAATGAAATATAGCAGTAGAAAATAAATGTAATGGTCCATACCCCATCTGTTGCCAAGACTATAAACTCATCCTTAACAGTGATGCGTCTACAGGAAATATCAGGTACAGAGATAAGACCAAACTCCTTTAGACAGAAATCTCCAAATGCACGTGCCATAGCGAGGCCGGGAGAGTCATTGTTTGGCAGCCACACTCTTGCAACCTCAGGTTCATCCCGAAGGGCAAATACGCGTCCTTTACATTTGCGGATTCTCTCTGCCTCCGCTGTCAGGTAAATAAAAGTGGAATTCAAATAACGGGAGATATTTGTATCTAAAACCAATTGATCAATTATAGTCAGATTTATTTCCTCGTGACATGAAAATTCTGGTTTTCCGCAAAGACTGTTTACGCACAAGTCATTAAATATCTAGAGCAACCCAAGGCCTAAAAATGGTAACACTTAGACACATCTAATTACTATTGGAGTATCATGGCAAGACTCTTGCTGCCCACCTACTCAACATACGTCACTACCCCATAAATAGAAGTGCAGTATTATTTCCATGCAGTTCCTGCAAATATATCTCCAGCTTGTGTTTCTATGATGGGCAACCTCTTTCTAAGAGACGGCAATGTAAACTGATAACATCCTGAGGGAAAGCCTCATGGCCCCGTCCATCTATCAAGTAGTACAAATTGAAGTCTTAATTCTCTGGCCCAAAAGGGTGAAGTGCAAGTTACCAACTCCCAAGTAGTGGCGAGCCCTCATGAAACACAATTTGAGAGAGATAGAAGAGTACCTGGAAGGTTCGGTTTGAGATCCAGAGTCAACTGGACTGCAACGAGTGAATTATTCTCATCTCTGGTACCCAATACAGCTCTCGAGTCCCCAACATTTCCAATTACAAGATCCTGACCCTACAGAAGAAAATCAAGGCATTATTGAGTACATAGATAATACAATTGCAAACTCAAGTCGGTATCGCTTATGAACTTATCATTATACCTGTTTTACTAGAGTCACTGCTGTTGTTCCACTGCAGAAGCATTCAATATTTGAATACATTCTCAGTTCCCGATCCATAATCTTGAAAGCTTTTAAGAAGGATTCCTTCAGAGTCTGGAAAACTTCTGGATGCTTTTCGGTTTCTTCAAGATCAATGGAAGCTCTAGATGACTCTTCAAGGGATAAGAAAGAGGTGTCTTTAGAGCACCAACTACCCGTACCATTCAAACAAACTTCCCTAGGAACCTCATCACTCTTTATATCAACTTCCCAGTTTGCACTCAGTTTCAAAGGAAGAGAATCTCTAACCCGCTTTGCAACCAAATGACCATAGGGACCATGGCCGTCAAAAACTCCACAGAAGACTGTGTCTGTCCTCGAACCAAAATTCTAAAAATCCATTTTCACAAAAATCAGTAAATGGCAACATTACGAGCAACATGAGATGTATAAAAACAATAAAATGCTTGATAGGAAAGGACGTGATCGTTTATCTTACAAAACGTCATCATGAATCTTTGACACGTAAAAATTCAATATGTGCACATAAATTGTGAACATTCATGTTAAATGAGCACAAATATCACTTTCTTAGGCCCCAGGGAATTTAATCAAATGGCAGAAGAAACCAAGGATAATCTGATGAGGCTTAAGAGTTATTTATTTTATCCATAATTTCTATCCTTCAAAGAAATAATTATCTCGGGTTTTACTAATCACAAAATTTGATGTGGTCTCTGAAATCCTGGAAGGCAACTCTAAGTTTCTAACATCAAACACATAAAATATAAAGCAATGACATTAAAAGACAATAATAGGATCTCACTTCAGGGAACCCTCAGTGAGAGGAAAGTCAGCGAGAACTCATGTTGCCCAAGTATAGGCCAAGCCAAAACGGATCAACTACAACTATTTAGTAATAGGCCATATTAAGAATGAAAGTACATGGTTTTTCAGCTGAGCATACCTTTTTAAGAAACAATTAGGTAATACCACAGGGTTTAACTCATTAAATAGATACAAAAAATTAGAAATTACAACATCACTTGTCTTAGACTATCTACCATTATGAAGCCATTGGATAATGAATAAAGTTTGAAACCATATTAATCATAACATTCGAACTGATCACATTAATGCAAAGAAAGAAGAAGCTAACCTCCCAAACAAGCATGGCATCTTGATTGATTCCTTTCTTGCCTTGCTGGGTAAAGAGTGAAGCAACCTCGCTGGATCCATTTAAAAATATACGGCCCGGAGTCTTACGTAGTTGTTCATCCCTCCCAAAGGACGGATTTCGAGACCTCTGTCTACTTCTGGAGCCTTTCCTCTTCGTTACTCCCATTGGAGAACCAGGAAGCGGACTCCTAGTCTCACTGGAAAAGCAGGACCCCATTATTAGGGACCTGATTATTTCCAGTATGCACTCCAGTCCAGCCAAACAGGCACCCCCCCTATTTTCCGTATTTGGATCCGTCACAAAATTTAGTGAAAAATCCTTCCAAGCTATATATAATTATATATATTCACACACTATGAGTCTTCTATATAATCAAGTAAGTCACCCTTTATTCCACAATTGAAATTCCAATGACAAAAATAACATTAAATCCTCCTGATAAATAAATTTTCAGGCACCCTTTAAATTAAACCACCCAATCTCCACTTCATTTACAAAAGTTCATCATCTACTATTGGGGAATATCACCCCTTCGGAGGAAACAGAACACAATAATAAGCTTCCGAACCTTAAAAAAGAAATTAACTTTGAACTAATCTTATCCTGAAAAGTACCCTAAACAAATAATTGATAAATAATAAAAAGTATTACTAAAAGTAACAATAGTATGCTTCTATAATTCCTCCTCCTCCATATTTTAAATACTAATTATATGTTACGCAAAAAGAACGGATCTATAAGAAAAAGTATCCCCTTTCCGATTCAGGACAACAAAAATGTTCTTTCTTTTTGCTTATTCCCGATAAAGCCCGAAATCAAGAACATCAATCGAAGCTGAAGATTAATCGAGAACGCTAACCCAACAAACATTCTTGACTAAAAACCCACAATCATCAATTAATTCCAAAAAATGAACAAAAAAAATCTCAAACTTGGAGCCCAGCAGATGAAAACCGCAGCAACTTATTAATTATTCATGAATCAATGGAAGAATCCAACGAAAGCACAGCTCCATATAATGATTTTCTATTCAAAAGCAACAGAAAAAGATCGGCAGAGGAAAACCGCGCTTCTTTGAAACGGACAATTAACGCTAGATGCAATAGTAACTCGAAAAGGTAGAGAAGAAAGATAGAATTGAGGTCGCAAAAACGCAGCCGGTAAGAGTTTTTATTACTGCGCAAAGTAGTTAGAGATAGAGATTCATTTTCTACTCTCCACTACTTTTCGGTGGTCTACATGTTTAAATCCACGCAACTTTATATTTGATGTCAATATTTCACCACAATCACTTAATTTTATCCTTAGTGTTGATGTCATCGTCATCATTCAATTTGATTTTATTTCACCGTAACCTCTCAATTTTATACTTAGGACGTGTTCGGTAGATATTAAAATTGGACTAAAATTAAAAAATTAAATGTTATTGTTGACTTTTTTTAGACGAGTAAGACCAAATAACAGCTATATTTTCAATTTTAATTGAATTCTGAACGGTACCAAACAAGCTCTTAGTATTATTATGACCACCCAATTTAATTTCATTTCAACGTGATCATTCAATTTCATATAACGTTTCACCATAACCACCCAACTTATTTTCATCATTTTCGTTAATTTTAAAAGTGGTAAAACGGTAACTTTGCACTATATATAAAAAAAAAATTAAAAATAAAAATAAAAACTCATTAAAAAAAAAACAAAACAAAAACTTATTTAGAAAAATGTTACTTAAAAAATAAAATAAAAACTTATTTTAAAAAAAGTTAATTAGAGAAATAAAATAAAATAAAAACCTATTTAAAAATTTTCTAAAAATAAAGTAAAAACTTATTTTAAAATAAAAGTTTTTAAAATTTAAAAAAAAATTATTTTTTTTAATATATATAATACAAAGTTTCTATTTTACCCTTTTTAAAATTAGTGAAAATGGCAAAAAAAACAAAAAAATTGGTTTGTTATGATGAATTGTTAAACATTATATGAAATTGGTGGCAATTGTTAAATATTATATGAAATTGGGTGACTATGGTAAAATAAAATAAAATTAGGTGGTTATAGTGACATTAAATATAAAGTTGAGTTACCATTAAAACCCTTGGTTTATATCCAAACCACATCAACTTAAAAATCCAATCAATATTTTTTTTAAAATAATATATGAAATATTTATTTCGTCTATTGTCGAATTACATACATTGATGTCATTGTAATTCTAACTTGTTTATATTAGCTCTCATTTATATAGCTTGTTTGTGAGAGATTTTTGGGGGAAGAATTGATTTTGAATAGTGATATAATGGGAAATGTGTGGTTGAAAAAGAAGAAAAAATTATTGATGTGAT